ATTAAATCTCCAACGTTACCTGCAACATTAGGGTTCCGGTCCGTGAATATGTCGAACCTGAAGATGAAAATGAAAAGAATTTTATAAAGCAATGCCAAATATTAAGGCCAAGAAAAAGAGGGATGGGCGGAGTCAAAAAGATCCTCTAAAGGAACGACATGACGATCCAAACAGCAACACACCTGGCCCGCACCTGACAATTGCATGAGCTACCCTCGACACCCGTGGTATAACAGGAAAGAGAAGAGTACAAAAAGTAATTATATTGTACAGTCTTAATTATTTTTTCCTGTCTGTTTTGATTAAAATAACTTTCAAACTACTGAGCTCCAGTCGCAAAAAGGGTTGTTAGTGCCAAGTGAAACTGACATTCTACGGAACATTGGGCAGAAACTGGACAACTTTGGCATTTTGGGCTCAGAGGAAAGATCTTTCAATAGCCGTTTCTGTGTATTAGCAGATCTATTATATTGCGTATGAACTGTTGTTTTTAGGACCAGCAAAAAGAGACTTAGTGTTCACTAACCCAGTAGACAGAAAGTGATACGTGCAGTGCGTGCATGTGTGTGTGTGTGTTTTTGTATGTGTGTTAGGTTGTGTGTGGTTATGCACATGAATTAGGTTATGCACATGTATTAATTTATGCATCCATGTATGTACAAGCATGTGCACGAACATTCATTCTCACTCACACCATAAAAAAACGCCCTTTTTCTTTCCCTCACCCAGTAAACAACATCCAGTGGTCACTCGGGGGTAGGTCAAACCGGGCCGACTTGACCCAGTGGCGGAAGGACTCCAGGGCTCCACTCGCGTCCACATAGTGGGAGCCAGGCCTCAGGGTATAGTCCTCTGTCCAGTATGACACGGCCTGGGACTGGGGACGAGGGGATAGGTACTCGTTGATTAAGTTGAGGATGAGTGGATACTCGTAATATTATACATGTAATGTTATAAAATGCATAATAATATTAGTTAGGTATGTTGTAGAGAAAGCATGCACCACTTAAGTGCAGTTATCATCTGTCCAGTTACAGACGGCCGGGGACTGGGGACGAGGGGATAGGTACTTGTATATTATGTTGTGGATGAGTGGATAGGTACTTGTATATTATGTTGTGGATGAGTGGATAGGTACTTGTAGATTATGTTGTGGATGAGGGGATAGGTACTTGTAGATTATGCTGTGGGTGAGTGGATAGGTACTTGTAGATTATGTTGTGGGTGAGAGGATACTCGTGATAATGTATTGTAGTAAAATGCATATTTTAGAGCACGATGTAGAGGGTGGGTACCTGATACCTGGAGGTGTCATCTCTGCCTCAGAGGTTGTCGTGTAATGACCCTCCATCTTTCACGGTCGCGATCTGCCGTTGCACCTTCTGCCATATCCCTTCTAAATCTAGTTATGATTATGCTTTTAGTTTTGAGAAATCAACGATTTTCGGTTTTCTTATACTATTTTCTGTTGATGTTGGGAACAACATTCTCTTCAGGGTTCGAGATCAACCATTGATGAGCAGTGCAAAATAGTTTAGGTAATATAAGAAAACCGAACATCATTGATCTCTCAAAACTGCTGTGAACATAAGAAAAGGCGTTCTGTCAGCGTAGGGCAGAGAAAGCTACATAGTAAAGAACAAAACTCACGTTGACAATGAGTAGTCCTGTAATGACGATGTCTAGGTGGAAGGACGGGTCGACCAGGCTGACACTGCTGTATCTGACGCTCATCTGTGGACACATACAGACACATACACACATGGCTATAAAAGTGGTAAAATTGTATGACTTTAACGCCCCTATCAACACTATTAGGTTATTTAAGGGGCGGGACCTCCTAGTTTAACGTCCGTCTCCGATAGGACCGAGTCAAGTGGGAAGTTCGTGTAAAGTGCCTTTCCCAAGAACACAACGTCGGACCGAGCTCAGTGCGCAATCTCACGATTACGAGTCCGGTAGCCTAACCACTAGACTACCGACGCCACACACACATGGCTATGACTGATAATGTGCCGTAAAATAATGTATGAAATCTCTTGAAATTTGATAACTAACTAACAGTACACTTTCGTTCGCAGTCTACTTATAAGGTCATAAATTAATTGACAAAATCAATTACCTTTACCATCAATGAAACTTACAGTAATGGGTGAAGAGTCATAAATTATTCATTTGTTCACGGCCTTCGAATTTGAAATTCACTGTCTGGTAATATAAGAGACAGGAAATTAATAAAGGTAATTTTAATTCATTCCAATTCGACTCAAATGAAAATTTCTATAGTTAGATTAAAGAGATTTAAAGCATTTTTAGATTTGTAGTTCAAACACAATGTACTCTTTGATTTTATATGTCTTGCTGTTGTATTTGCAAAGCACTCAGTGCCTTTTTTGGGGG